CTGTCTGTTAGTTAGATCCATTGACTCTAGTCAGCAAAACCAACATATGTACTTCAAACAAGTAATGCAATAAGTCACTTTCAGTTTATACAATTTTTCTTCCCTTCTCATTTTCAGTACTCTATTACTTTCTTCAAACAATATTGTCTTGCACAATATATACAATTGTATAATGCATAGGTGGGCTTTCAAGTGCGCTCTCTCTCTCTCTCTCTCTCTCCCCCCCCCCCCCCCCCCCCCCTTCCTTTTGAGTTATTAGTTAGTGGTCTAGACCATTCTTTACCTAGTAAGTTCGGATATTGAGCTTCAGAACTCTTCGTAATTAATCTTTGTTTTAACGCCTTCTTATAATTGTGCTGCTTGATGCTGAATCGTCTTTCAATTATGTGTTGTATTAGTTAAGTTTTGTTTGATATATACAGATGCCATTAATCATCTGAATAAATTGGAAGACAACATCTGGGAGCGATGGACAAGTAAAAGGTCCATTGAAAAACTCATAAGTATGTGCTGAACGGATGTCTTTGTATCTGTATTTTGTTATGTATGGTTACTATTAAAATTATGATGTCTTATCTAATGAACAAAAAATTTATTGGATTAAATAAAATAATTGTCAGGGATTAGCCATGAGGCTCTGTGGACTGGGAGGGGGATTGGTCATAAATACTTTTTGACCTTTGTTTCTGTCCTCAATGAAATTCTGTTCAAATAAATTGCAATGCTAGATATGATTTCAACTTATCAATTGAAAGATGTGATTTATCCATGATTTTACATATGTTGTGAAGGATTATGCCAAAACAAGTTTGTACTACTTACCGGGTTTGATCTCTAATATTCCATCTATGTACATGAGAAATTGTCAGTATTCCATCTATATACTGTTTGTCTTTTTTTTTTCTCAAATTGATAATAATGATAATTGATGAGAGTCTGAAACTGATAATTTCTGACTCTTTCCCTATAATCCTTTCATCAATAGAGAAATCCTTAGATGGGAAGTCCAAAAGTTTTTCCCAGAAGGATACTTTTGAGGGAAGTAGAAAAATCATAAATGCTGCTATGGACCGCATTTGTGAGTACACAGGTGAGAACATGAATCTGTCTCTTTTTAACTTGTAAATCAGACTTCTCTAATCACCTTGTTGGGTTAATTATCCACTTGCAGGAACTAAAATTGTCTTTTGTGATCTGAGAGTTCAATTTATGGACAATTTGTACAAACCCAGTGTCTCTGGCTATAGGTTGGACGCACTTATAGAGCCACTTGATATGGTAACGTTTGTCTCATTAGAAAAGTGCCATGTTTTACATTGTACTTGTTAGATCACATTTAATTGCAAATACATCGTGTGAATAATATGTACTGAGTAAAATCGTTAATTTTAGAATGTTTAAATGTTGAATATTAAATACCAACTGGAATATTCAGTCGAAAAGATTTTAAATGTCTGTTTTAGCAAAGCATTACTCACCAGATTTTATGCAGATAAAGTCTTAAACTTTTGCCAATTTAATTGATCTGTTTTTCACTTTTGACTTATTGTAGGAACTTAGCCAACTTTTGATATTGTTGTGGAGCCTCTGAGGGACCGCATAGTGACTAGTCTTCTTCAGGCATCATTGGTTGGTATCTTAGCCTTTTTCCATAATCATTTCTCTACTATTATTGTGATTTTAACATTTTTCCTGCATACCAGGATGGCTTACTCCGTGTTATCTTAGATGGGGGTCCATTCAGAGTTTTCTTTCCCAGTGATGCAAAATTATTAGAGGAAGATTTGGAGATCTTAAAGGTAGATTATCTGACTATAGTCAATTCAATGCCATCCACAATTTGCAATAGGCTCTCTTTGGATCTTTTGAACTTTCTTTTCCATAAAAATGAGTTTTGAGTAGGCCAATGTTCAAAATCAATGAATGGTGATGTGCTTCTTGTAGGAATTCTTTATATCAGGAGGGGATGGGCTCCCTCGGGGTGTGGTCGAAAATCAGGTTGCACGTGTTCGGCATGTGATCAAGTTGCATGGCTATGAGGTTAGTGTTTAAAAGGTTTAAATATGTTTTTGGTCTTTAAAACATGTTTTGATTTTTCTTTCGACTTCTTACAAAAGTTATCTTGCCTTTTTGGTCCCAGAAAAAATGTTGTATTTCATCTTTGCCGTTACAAGGATTTTGTCACTAGACCACATTATCATCGGATGAAAAAAATAGATAAAAACTTTTTTTTAAAAACGGACCACCTTATCAAACTCAAATTTTTCCACTGGTGAAATATCAGGGGTTTGAAGTTATGAAAAATTTAATTAAGACTTTGAAGAAGAAGAGAATCCAAAATATGTGAGATAAAAAAAAACATATTTAAACCTATTGAAAATTTTCTCAAACAGTTGTTCATTGGTAGAAAAACTGATACCAGCCCAAATATTATTGTTGGGCCAAACAATATATTGGCAAAGAAGAAACAAAAGAGCAAAGGGAAATGGGGACAAGTTTATAGCAAGAAGAAAAAAAATAAAAGGGGCTGAGGTGGACCGAATAGTTTAGAGAGAGAGAATTGGAGGATCCTGAAGATTTCCTTTTGTATTACCTTTATAGTGTCAGGATGGGTGTGGGGGAGGGAGTCGGTTTTTTGAACAAAATTAGAGTGGAGAGTACCGTTTTGGTCTCTTAAGGAGCCTAGCTCGGGGCAGTAAGAAGTAGAGTAGGGTTATTCCTCTGTTTTTGCCTTGATGTTCAATTGAAACAGGGATATGTGATCCTTTCTATATTCTCTTTTCCTCTTATTTTATTACTTGTCCTGTGGTTTCCTAAACATTTGGTCCCGACCTGCCGGATAACTTCATTTAGAGGGTGAATGGTTAACACTCGAGCAGACAGCAGAAAACAAGGGGAAACCAGTGGTTTCGGGGAACAATGGAGGATAGGGTTAGGTATGCTGAGAAGTTATTCGAATGAAAGCGATCATGGAGGAAGAGTTGCTGCGTCTGCAGCATCTCAGAATCATTCAGCACTAGAAGAGATGAGAAAAAAGTTGCAGAAAATCAAAACAAAAAATGATGGAGTTGATGACGAGGAGTTTGAAAAGAGGATTAATGAGAGGGTGAAGGTTCGGTGGGAAACAAAAAAAAAACAGAGACTAAGGAAAAACGCCAAGGTTGGAGCGAGTCTGACAGCCCTAGAAGGGGATGCTCTGGCGGAGTTTCGACAATCAGTAAAAAGGATTGAGTTACCAACATTCAATGGCGATGACCCTGCGGGATGGATTTCGAGAGCGGAGATTTACCTCAAGGTTTAGGAGACCAGCGAGATGGTGAAAGTAAATTTGGCTCATTTGTGCATGGAAGGAGGGACAATCCACTTTTTCAACTCGTTGTTAAACGATTATGAGGAGCTGACATGGGATAATTTGAAGGAGTTGCTTGAACGTTACAGAGGAATGGGGGAAGGGAGTGTATATCAAGGTTGTCAAACTCGAAAGTTTACGTAAACTCGTTAGAGTCCAGTAAACTCGACTCGTAAACTCGTAAGAGTTTACTTTGTATGAAAAAAATATAAATAACATTCTAATTCAAATAAGATTAACCAAAAATTATATAAATGAAATACATAAGTTAATAGAAAATATTGTTATTTACATTAAGATATAATGTAAAATATAAATTGAAATGTCAAAGTCTCTATGCCTAATCCTCTAATCCTCTAATAATGGCATCATCATCTCCAATCATCAGACATCAACTCTTCCTTGATTGAATGTTGGCTGTGCCTCCTCATTGTTCTCAAATGTTATGTTAATCAAGATCCAAGAGCATCTAAAACAGGATCTGTGTGCTCCATCTAAGTGAAACATTTTCAGTATCATTTTCACCTTCAACTTGATCAATCTCAAACAAACATAAATGTATCGTCAGCATCCTTCATCATGGAATTCTATGTCATCAAATGGAAGAGCTATATTTTTTCGAATCTGTCGACTTTTCAGCTGTGGAGTATACATCACATAACTAAATCATTCATCTTTTTGTGATGTAAACGATTCCTTCTCTGTATGAACCTAAAATGAAAGATAATATTTTTAGTGATAGATGTAAACATAATAAAGGAATTATAAAGTAAAAATAATTTAAAAATACCATTTCAAATGAACTCCAAATTACGCTCACATCAGAAGAACTACAAGTCAAGCTTAGAATTCGAATAGCAAAAATCTCTTCAACTCTGGAGTTCATCACCAAACATGTCCCACATTCCCCCGGATTTAACTCTTTTCCTACACTCGTTTGCATCTTCCATTCCAAACAGGCCTCTAGCATTATGAAATTCCACAATTTTGTAAATTTAATTGTTTTCTTTCTGCCATATCTGGTATCATTCTTCTCATGCAAAAATACCAATCCTTCTTTCACTCTCACCATCATCAGATCTAAGTTAGGGTCATGGTATGTGGAAAAGGAAATGAGGGTTCAGAAATAGGCAGCTGCATGCAAAGGCCTATGAAGTTTGATTCTCCATCGAGCATCATTATTCTCCAAACCTCTTCATAAACACATCAATCATGGCTATATCAGAAAGAAATAATCTAACACATTAAGTAATTAAACATGGAATGAGTAAAAGTTTGAAAATTTACCTCTTTTTGATATGTGAAAGTAGATCTAATCTTCTCTTTTGCACAGTCCATCTCTTCATAAATGAAACCCATTGAGTTTTACATCTGAGTCCATAATCTTAAGACAACCATGGAGAGGGGCAGCAAGCTTTCAAAGCATATGGAGACATTCTTCCCAAAAAGCGGCTATATAATACTACATGTGATACTTTTCTCCCCTCTTGGTGAAAGTTCCAAAACTTGCTTGTCTTCCATTCCTCAGAGCTGAACATGGTCAACAACGATGCCTTCAAGTTCATGAAGACAAGCAAGAGTTAGCAAGAGTGAAATAGAAGTGGCAAATCTAGTCAAACCGGGTTTATGAAGGGATGAAAAGGGNGTATGTTATCACAAGGGAGCATGGGGTTTTATTGCATGCACTTGAGCAATTAAATAAAATACCACTAATGGAGCAAAGAGGCCAACAAGAGAGGTTGCACTTGAAAAGCTTGCGTTCCAAGGTTGAGGGTGAACGGGATCTATCTTTCTTACAGTCTTTCTTAACACCAATTCAGAGATGGACGGACAAGCAGCTTGGAGATTACCATATGCACTTCAACGAGGTTTGTTCAACTTATTAAGTTGTTAGGTAGTACTGGATCAGATGCTTGACTATGTTTTTCTATGTTTTTGCCCTTTTAAAACAAATATTCTTGAACTCTTTTCCCCTTTTATTTTCTATTCAAAAGCTTTGTTTTTGATTTGTTACCAAGTAATTATGATATCTTGTGTTGCACCTTTAGTTTTTGTTTTACAAAACCTCTCACATACTTTTAGGGTTCAGCAACTATGGAAAAGATTGTAGCAGTTGCAATGATTACCAGGAGGCTTCTACTGGAAGAACCAGAAACTGTGTGTAATCCTTTTCAATGATATCTTTCACATCTGGATGGATAATTTTGTATAAAATACAAATACTATGGTAGGCTATAAATTTCAGTTATAAAAGTTTCTTTACTATTTTCCTGCAGACTTCACAATCCCTGCCAATTAGTGATCGTGATCAGATAGAGATATATATATCTTCATCAATTAAGAATGCATTTTCAAGGGTGAGTATTAAATTGCAAAGGTGTTTGGATACATTGTTCTTTCAATTTTTATCTCCATTGAAATCCTAATTGGGTAATTATTAGTATCTTCCACTTGACTGGTAAATGATAGACAACTCACAAAGCTTCCTGTTCATTGTTATTGATTATATACATGCTAAAGTGAATATCTTTTAAGCATGACTTAATTATATATATTTATATTTTGATTGATTTTGTGCTAAGCTTTAAATATATATTGTAGAATTTGGAATCAGATGTGTTCCTAAAACTGTTTTATGTCTTCTTGATTCTGCTATGTAATTGAATGCTTGTGCGAACATCTGCTTTTTTGTTTTCATCTTTTTAAATTGCAAACTGTTGGATAGAGCATGTCATTGTTTTTGTAGTCCATTGTTATGCCTATCTTTTAGATTTAAGGAATCTGTTTACTTTCTGCAGACAGTGCAAGTTGTTGAAAGAACTGATATGTCAAACGAGCATCCCTTGGCATTGCTTGCAGAAGAACTCAAGAAGCTCCTAAAACGAGAATCTGTAACTTTCTTGCCTGTTTTATCTCAAAGGCATCCTCAAGCAACTGTTGTATCTGGATCACTAGTTCACAAACTTTATGGGCTCAGACTGGTGAGTATATATATGGTTTGTTTATATATAAGTATATGTATGTGTGTGTGTGTGCGCGCGTGTGTGTGTGTATATATATATATATATATATATATATTATGATTACATTATGGAATATATCTTCAAAATCACTGAAAATCTGTTTTTTTTTTTTTTTTTCAGAAACCCTTTCTGGATGGTGCAGAGCATTTAACCGAGGATGTCATTTCTGTATTCCCTGCAGCTGAAAGTCTAGAGCAGTTCATAATGGCACTTATTGCATCTGTATGCCAAGAAGAAAATGCTGAGATCATGTTGAAGAAATTGAATCTCTATCAGGTTAGGTGGTCAAATTTCTTTTAGAGAACTTAATTTCATTTTCCCTTCTTTTTCTCTCTCCTAAAAGTGCTTATGGAGACATTTTCTCCAAACAGACCCATGGTCTTTTGTCATCTATCCTTCTATTGTCCTATCATTATTTATTCTATACTTTGGTCCTTGCTCTTTTTACTTGTTATAGATTGAGACAAAATCTGGAACATTGGTGTTACGTTGGGTCAATTCACAGCTTGGAAGAATTTTAGGTTGGGTAGAGCGGGTTTTTCAACAAGAGGTAAATCCTTTATCAATATTGCTATACTGTCAAATTCCAGTTGTTTTGATTATGTTTATTACAGAGACCTTTCTCAAGGTCTAGTTTTATTGTTCTTTTTAGAAGATTATTTTTGTAATATCTATTGTATATTTAAATTAGCGTTAGAGTACTTAATCCTGGAGTGGCTGACCCCAAATTTGGTAAAATGAAGAAGCAGATAATGAGATGGCTAATAAAGGATTCAGTGCAGATAATTTATAGTGCATACATTTTCCCAAAAATAGTAAAAAAGAATTACTAAAGATATATGTCTGTCATTAATAATCAAAACCAGTAGTCTGTACACCAAATCACTATTAATTTGTTTAAAGAATAATTAAGTAGAGTCAAATAGCATAATCAAAAGGTATAGGCAGCACAGCACTGTGGATTGAAGTGAGAAAAAATGAGATAAGTTAATGATGAGT